ATATTGTTTCATTCAGCAATCTGTCAATATTTGCCTGTCATTAAAAGGAGTCAGGATAACCTCAAAGAAAAAAAAACAAAACTGAAGTTTTGATTCTGATCACATACTAGCTGCATAATTTGGTACAAGTCACTTTTACCTGTCTGAGCCTCACTTTTCTCATCTGTAAAATGGGATAGGTGTTACCTACCTCACATGTTTACGGCAGAATCCGATCTGGTAATGAATGAGAAAATACTAAGCAAAGTACATACTGTGGGACCTCAGTAGGTTTGCTGGCTCCAAAAGATATTTGATGGTAAAGCTGTAGCCCCAGTGATTCTCCAGATCTTTGGTACTCTCAGTTTTCTTTTCGGTAAAATGGGGATAAAAATTATATCCGTCTCATATACTACTTATGTGTTAAATGTGTTAATATATGTAAAAATGAATACTGCCAACCACCTGATAGATACCTAGTAAACATTAGCTATTGTTGTATTTGTGATTATTGTTAATCTTTCAATTCTTAAAGATTATGAACACTTTTCTGGGGAAAGTGCACATTCTAACAAAAGTCTGTAAATAGTTGCAAAGAGTTCACAATTCCCCTGTGCTATCTCTATATGCTGCAGGTTACCCTTTGCCATTATCTGCCTTTGAGGCCAAATTCTAAAGAAGCAGCTTAGTCGAGGACTTACCTAAAATTATGTCCCAAAATTGTGTGTGTGTGAACTTATCTGACTGAGCTTGCCTAACGTTCATTAGATTCTGAAAAGGATTATGTTCCCCAAAAAGGGTTTTAGTTGGGATTTTTGTTTGTTCATTTAGGGTTGAGAGGAGCTTGATAAATACCAAAGGCTGTAGCTTTTCTTCTTTGGAAGTTAATTCTTTACTTTTAATTGTGGACTGACATCTGCAGCCAGAGTATATTTTGCAAAGCCAAATACATGCAGACATTTGAAAAACCTGCATTTGGACTGCCCGGCCACCTGCACAGCTGCCAACAGCTGCCACCACAGACTCCTCCTTGGGACCTGTGCAGTGGATCTGGCTCCATAACTGCCTTGCTAGATGATCTTTCCTTTTGTGAAACAGTAAATAGCAACCCTTGTAATCCTCCGCCGAAAATGTAGAAAAGCCTGCTCCTGAAAGCACCTAGGAATCTTCTGGGAGAGTTTCGGATTCGTAAATAGACCTAGCACTGACTTTTTAAAAATATGCCCTTTGCCAGGGGGGAGAAAAAAAGACTATTAAAAAGTTTCTATTGGTATTGTCATGGAGCAGCAATTAGGGGTTGTAATAATAAATGAACACGTGAGGCACACATTGAAAATTTGACATGCTTTATAAGTGCCAAGTAATAATAATGATGTCACAAGGCTTTCATTTTCAAACTGTCTTAATTTCATTCTCAGTTTGAGATTGCAGATTCCAGTAGTTAATTATTGGCCCAGAGTGAAACCTTAAATCAGATTTCCATTAAAGTGCGTGACTGAAACAAATTACTTTACAGGAGGACAGAATGGCATTGTCTCTGGTGGTGTGGGGTCTTCCCATCACTCCTGGTGGTGATTTCCTCTTGGTGCTCCGTGATACGCCACATGTCCTAAATGATCCCATGTCCCTGAGCTGCACAGCGTGTGTACTTCTGTGTCTTGCTGCTCTTGTAAAAATTCTAACTTCTTTGTTAGTATCAAACTCTTTTTCTCCTCTCTCTCTCTCTCTCTCTCTCTCTCTTTTTCTCTGTGTCACATTCTCTTATGCTCCCTCTCTCACTGCTGGTCTTTCTCACTGTCTCTCGTGCTCTCGGATGGTTGCTCTGTATTTCTCATCTCATGTTTGCTCATGCATTCACTCTTCTCTCTGTCCCTGTCTCCCTTTCCCATCACTCCCCCTCTACCCCTGAGGGAGACTTTCAAAGCTTGTCTTCACCCAGCTCTGGGAAAACAAGGAATAAGGCAAAAGAACCAAGTTCCCATCCCTGGCCTCTAGTGCCTGCCACTCTTTACCTCATCTGGATTTTCTCAGGTTACTTCCCCATTCAGCCCGTAGGTCCTGAATGAACTAACTTGGGTGACAGCTCTGCCTTCATCCTGGCTGCCCTCTTTTACCTAAGTTCCCGCTCGCTCTTTCTCTTTGTCACCTGGAACATCACTTCTTCCAAAAGGCCCCTCTCGCTACAGCAGTCTGTACCACTAGTGTTGCCCTGGTCTTAGCTCCGTGAGACTAAGGAGCCAGGATTGTAATTGCCAGTTTGCTGGTCTGCCTCAGACTAGTCTTTGAACTCTTTGAGGGCAGTGATGACATCTTATTCATCTCCATCTCCCAAGCACTAAACTCTGTGCCTGGTTTGGGAGATGGCCATTAAGTGTCTATTGAAATTAATTTCATTCACTGTTGAAACCATTATTTATTAGGTGATTACACTATGTCATGGATTGTGCTAGCTGCTTATAAAAAAAACTCCTGTTGTAGAGGAGCGCAAAGGTGACCCACCCAGGTGTTCTATCTTGGGCATGGGGATACAGGGTGAGAGGTGAATATACTACATTGGAGAACAGTTGTCCTTTTTTCAGCACACCTAGCAAAGCCACCTATTCATCCGCCATTGGAAAAGAGGGCTTTTCCTTGGGTTCAGTACCAGTTGAAGTGGTTGGCTCACTTTTAGGTACACGTTGTTGTATGAAGAGTATCTGTATTTGTCAGATGCTCGTTAAACACAATGAGATAACTGACATGAAGGACTCATGGGAACTGATACTAAATGAGGCAATACCAGAATCACAGCTCATATCTGACTCTTGCTCCAGGGTATACATCTACTGAGAAGCATTGGATCACAGGGCCAGGGGCATCTTCCTGCCTCTTGTGCCTCACTCCTGCCTATGTGGATGACTTCACATATGTTTGCTGTGTGTGGTGTGCCTACTCTATAGAACAATCATACTGTTTTAGATGGATTAAATAGAATAATTCACCCTAACTTGATGACACAGAAAAGCTTCACTGAGAAGTTGTTGACATCTGAACTCATCCCTAAGGAATGTGCAGGTTGCACCATGGCAGAGGTATAGAGGAGCCACTATGTACTTTACTAGAAAGCTTAGTTCTTCTACAGAAACTGAATGAGCCTCAGCTCTTTCTGAGTTTCTCTCTTGGATCCTGTGGAGTCATTATTGCTCTTGAGTGGTTTTTGTCTTCCATTGTTCTGGCAAGCTCCTCTCCATCCCACAGCTATTTGAAAACTACTGCTGTACCAGGCCTCAATACTAACAGCATTTAATAGCCATCATTAGAAAGCAAGCTTCTGCTTACCAGTCAGCCTGCTGTGAATGGTAATGGGAGATTTCTTTTTTGGGAGTAGCTCCAGTGTCTAATTGGTTTGGAAAATATTGCTCATTTATTTTATTCTTAAAACATTACCTTTTTACTGAACTTCAATAAGTTTGTGTTTTTGTTGCATTCAAATTCAACATAGCTGCAGTCTACTGAAAGGTTTTCTTATACTTGCTGTCTAGGTAACCTGTCCACTTTCACCATAGCTTGTTGAAATATATGCATGTGTAAATATCCATTAGGTACCTTACAGGCATGTAATAAGCATCTCACATGTCTTATTTAGGCCTTTCAACAACTTTATGGACTAGGTACTATTACTCCCATTTTATAGGTGAGGAAACCATGTTTGAGGCAGGGTGTGGCCCTTGCCCAAGATTCCAGCTCTAGCAGCTGGCATGAATGAAGAATCAGTAGGCAATCTAGAGCCTGACTTTGAGCCTTACCACTGCTACTTGTTAGCTATGTAACACTGGGACACATCATGTGAATTTTCTGAATGGCTTTATCAGCTATAGAGGGCTAGCCATCACTGTACTTACCGTACTGTAATGCAGGGATCAAAATTAAAAATGAGGGTTCATGTAATGGCACTTTTTAAAGAGTTAAGTGCTGAACAAATGTAAGGTATCCTTTTCTCATATATTTTGTGTAGTTAATTTAGCATATTGAAATAATGGGATTTAAAAATGGCATGCAGCACACACATATATGCTTTGCAATTAGTGTAGCATAATTTAATTGTGACTCCATTGTTGGAATTTTGATGCCTCCAGCTTGATGAATAGCTGTTATCTGTGGGTGTTATCAATTAATCTAGGTAATGAATTCTCTTCATTATCTCGTTCTTCATGTTAATTATACAGGATTTTCTTATAACTATTTATCAAGTCAGGGCGAGTACAATTTTGTTGGCCCACATGCCTTTTAGTATGGAATATGTATAAGCAGGTTAACATGATGGGTTTAAATTTACATTTCTGAAAAATTCTAGTCAGTGGCTTGACTTTTCTTATATCCTTGTAGTGTGAGCTTGTATCTTTTTATTTTGGGGGTCTTTTTTTTTTAATCAAAAAGGTCATTATCTAAGATAATTAAGCTATCTCTGACTTATGAGAATATACCTCTAGCATACCAAAGAGGTATTAAGGAAGCATAGAAAAATTGGAATTTTTACCTAATAATACAAAACAACAAATAATTAATGTTACTAGTTTTGAAATATTTTATGAGGTACCAGGACAGGTAAAAATTCAAGTATAAGCCATGGACGGAAAAGACGTAACTACATGAAATTTTAAATGTCACTATGCATAAATAACATCCATTACATCTTAACATATGTTACATCTTACAGAAAAACCCAAACGAACTTTCTGGCCAGCCCAATATAAGACACAGCAGAAGACAGTGTATAAGAAATGAGTGGTGACTGAATTCATTTTGAATTCAGAGAAGTGATTGATAGGATAATCTGGGTTAATATGGTAATGTTATATATTGATATTTATTAATTAAATACTAAATTTTAACTTCAACATTTTCTGGGTCTTGTTTTATAGTTCCTATTCTGTTTTTTTTTTAAAGATGATTATTTTAATTGTCTCTGTTGTTTAGCCAATTATTTGGGGGAATGTTGACTGTCAGCATTTTGATGGGCACCTTCCTATTTTTTATTTCAGGTTGAAGCCATCCTGGTCAATATTTTTGGCGGAATCGTCAACTGTGCCATCATTGCCAATGGGATCACCAGAGCCTGCCGGGAGCTGGAACTGAAGGTGCCGCTGGTGGTCCGGCTTGAAGGTAAGTTACTGTAGATTTCCACAGTGCCAGTACCCGCCTTCTTCAGGATCAGGTGACCAGCATGTTCTGCATTCACAAACTTCCTGAGACAAACATTAGGAAACACTGGATTACATAAGATGAAGCAAATGCAGTACTTCTCTGAGCTTTTAATCTGCATTGCAGCTCTCCAAGAATGGCACATGTTATGAGTCTCCGAATTTTGCAAACATATTCCAGGGTGGAGCCCTTTTATTATGAATCATATCATGAGATTAGTGTTCTGGGGAAAACACTCTTAGAAATGCTGCTCCAAGAATTTTTCATCATGAGACACCAAGGGTTCTCAAACTTTTTGGTCTGAGGCCTCCCTACTTGTTAAACTTGAGAACCCCAAAGATCTCTTGTTTATTTTGGGTTATATCTGTCGATATTTATTAATTTATTTAACTGATTATAAATTAATCTGGTAAGAGGAATAACTACTTGGAACTTTTTAAATACTCACTTTTTAAATAATAAACTTTTAATTTTTGTATTATATATTTTACATGTAAGTATATAAACTATATAATTTATGAAGAATTAAATATATCTTTTAAAAATTTTAGTAAGAATAGCAGCACTGTTTTATGGCTTTGCAAATCCCTTTAATATCTAGCTTAATATTTGCTTCTGCAACAGATCTGTTGCAATATGCTGTTTTGGTGGAAGTATATGAAGAAAATCTGGCCTCATAGAGCTATGTATCTGGAAAACAGAGCAGTTTTTAATAATCATTTCATATAATTCTGAATATTATTCTTTGATACTACACTAAAACCTGTAACAGTGTCTTTATTACAGATAGGTTTTAACATAGAATCTGAAACTATTTCAATGAACTTTTTTTTTGAATTTTTAAAAATTATTTATTTGTTTAATTTTAACATCTTTATTGGAGTATAATTGCTTTACAATGGTGTGTTAGTTTCTGCTGTATAACAAAGTGAATCAACTAATACGTATACGTATATCCCCAAATCCCCTACCTCTTGCGTCTCCCTGACACCCTCCCTATCCCACCTCTCTAGGTGGTCAAAAACCACCGAACTGATCTCCCTGTGCTATGTGGCTGCTTCCCACTAGCTATCTGTTTTACATTTGGTAGTGCATATATGTCCATGCCACTCTCTCACTTTGTCCCAGATTACCCTTCCCCCTCCCGTGTCCTCAAGTCCATTCTCTACGTCTGCGTCGTTATTCCTGTCCTTCCCGTAGATTCTTCAGAACCATTTTTTTCTTTTTTTTTTATAGATTCCATATATATGTGTTAGCATACAGTATTTGTTTTTCTCTTTCTGACTTATTTCACTCTGTATGACAGTCTGTAGGTCCATCCACCTCACTACAAATAACTCAATTTCGTTTCTTTTTATGGCTGAGTAATATTCCATTGTATACGTGTGCCACATCTTCTTTATCCATTCATCTGTCGATGGACACTGAGGTTGCTTCCATATCATGGCTATTGTAAATAGATCTGCAACGAACATTGTGGTACATGACTCTTTTTGATTTACGGTTTTCTCAGGGTATATGCCCAGTAGTGGGATTGTTGGGTCGTATGGTAGTTCTATTTTTACTTTTTTAAGGAACCTCCATACTGTTCTCCATAGTGGCTGTATCAATTTACATTCCCACCAACAGTGCAAGAGGGTTCCCTTTTCTCCACACACTCTCCAGCATTTATTGTTTGTAGGTTTTTTGATAATGGCCATTCTGACCAGTGTGAGGTGATACCTCGTTGTAGTTTTGATTTGCATTTCTCTAATGATTAGTGATGTTGAGCATCCTTTCATGTGTTTGTTGGCAATCTGTATATCTTCTTTGGAGAAATGTCTGTTTAGATCTTCTGCCCATTTTTGGATTGGGTTGTTTGTTTTTTTGATATTGAGCTGCATGAGCTGCTTGTATATTTTGGAGATTAATCCTTTGTCAGTTGCTTCGTTTGCAAATATTTTCTCCCAATCTGAGCATTGTCTTTTCGTCTTGTTTATGGTTTCCTTTGCTGTGCAAAAGCTTTTAAGTTTCATTAGATCCCATTTCTTTATTTTTGTTTTTATTTCCACTTCTCTAGGAGGTGGGTCAAAAAGGATCTTGCTGTGATTTATGTCATAGAGTGTTCTGCCTGTGTTTTCCTTAAGAGTTTTATAGTGTCTGGCCTTACATTTAGGTCTTTAATCCATTTGGAGTTTATTTTTGTGTATTGTGTTAGGGAGTGTTCTAATTTCATTCTTTTACATGTAGCTGTCCAGTTTTCCCAGCACCACTTATTGAAGAGGCTGTCTTTTCTCCACTGTATATTCTTGCCTCCTTTATCAAAAATAAGTGCATAGGTTTATGTCTGGGCTTTCTATCCTGTTCCATTGATCTGTATTTCTGTTTTTGTGCCAGCACCATACTGTCTTGATTACTGTAGCTTTGTAATATAGTCTGAAGTCAGGGAGCCTGAATCCTCCAGCTCCCTTTTTCTTTCTCAAGATTGCTTTGGCTATTCGGGGTCTTTCGTGTTTCCATACAAAGTGTGAAATTTTTTGTTCTAGTTCTGTGAAAAGTGCCATTGGTATTTTGATAAGGATTGCATTGAATCTATAGATTGCTTTGGGTAGTATAGTCATTTTCACAATGTTGATTCTTGCAATCCAAGAACATGGTATATCTCTCTATCTGTTTGTAGTATCTTTAATTTCTTTCATCAGTGTCTTATAGTTTTCTGCATACAGGTCTTTTGTCTCCTTAGGTAGGTTTATTCCTAGGTATTTTATTCTTTTGCTGCAGTGGTAAATGAGAGTGTTTTCTTAATTTCTCTTTCAGATTTTTCAGCATTAGTATATAGGAATGCAAGAGATTTCTGTGCATTAATTTTGTGTCCTGCTGCTTTACCAAATTCACTGATTAGCTCTACTAGTTTTCTGGTAGCATCTTTAGGATTCTCTGTGTATAGTATCATGTCATCTGCAAACAGTGACAGTTTTATTCCTTCTTTTCTGATTTGGCTTCCTTTTATTTCTTTTTCTTCTCTGATTGCTGTGGCTAAAACTTCCAAAACTATGTTGAATAATAGTGGTGAGAGTGGGAAACCTTGTCTTGTTCCTGATCTTCATGGAAATGCTTTCAGTTTTTCACCATTGAGAATGATGTTTGCTGTGGGTTTGTCATATATCGCCTTTATTATGTTGAGGTAAGTTCCCTCTATGCCTACTTTCTGGAGGGTTTTTATCATAAACGGGTGTTGAATTTTGTTGAAAGCTTTTTCTGCATCTTTTGAGATGATGATATGGTTTTTCTCCTTCAGTTTGTTAATATGGTGTGCCACATTGATTGATTTGCCTATATTGAAGAAACCTTGCACTCCTGGGATAAACCCCACTTGATCATGGTGGATGATCCTTTTAATGTGTTGTTGGATTCTGTTTGCTAGTATTTTGTTGAGGATTTTTGCATCTATATTCATTAGTGATATTGGCCTGTAGTTTTTTTTTGTTTTTTTTTGTGACATCTTTCTCTGGTTTTGGTATCAGGGTGATGGTGGCCTTGTAGAATGAGTTTGGGAGAGTTCCTCCCTCTGCTATATTTTGGAAGAGTTTGAGAAGGACACATGTTAGCTCTTCTCTAAATGTTTGATAGAATTCACCTGTGAAGCCATCTGGTCCTGTGCTTTTGTGTATTGGAAGATTTTTAATCACAGTTTCAATTTCAGTGCTTGTGATTGGTCTGTTTATATTTTCTTTTTCTTCCTGGTTCAGTCTTGGAAGGTTGTGCTTTTCTAAGAATTTGTCTCTTTCTTCCAGATTGTCCATTTTATTGGCATATAGTTAGTAATCTCTCATGACCCTTTGTATTTCTGCAGTGTCAGTTGTTACTTCTCCTTTTTCTTTTCTAATTCTATTGATTTGAGTGTTTTGCCTTTTTTTCTTGATGAGTCTGGCTAATGGTTTATCATTTTTATCTTCTCAAAGAACCAGCTTTTAGTTTTATTGATCTTTGCTATTGTTTCCTTCATTTCTTTTTCATTTATTTCTGATCTGATCTTTATGATTTCTTCTGCTAACTTTCAGGTTTTTTTGTTCTTACTCTGATTGCTTTAGGTGTAAGGTTAGGTTGTTTATTTGAGATGTTTCTTGTTTCCTGAGATAGGATGGTACTGCTATAAACGTCCCTCTTATAACTGCTTTTGCTGCATCCCATAGGTTTTAGGCCGTCATGTTTTCATTGTCATTTGTTTGTAGGTGTTTTTTGATTTCCTCTTTGGTTTCTTCAGTGATCTCTTGGTTATTTAGTAATGTATTGTTTAGCCTCCATGTGTTTGTATTTTTTATAGTTCTTTTCCTGTAGTTGATATCTAGTCCCATAGCGTTGTGGTCAGAAAAGATACTTGATACAATTTCAATTTTCTTAAATTTACCAAGGCTTGATATGTGACCCAAGATACAATCTATCCTGGAGAGTGTTCCATGAGCACTTGAGAAGAAAGTGTATTCTGTTGTTTTTGGATGGAATGTCCTATAAATAGCAGTTAAGTCCATGTTGTTTAATGTGTCATTTAAAGCTTGTGTTTCTTATTTATTTTCATTTTGGATGATCTGTTCATTGGTGAAAGTGGGATGTTAAAGTCCCCTACTATGATTGCATTACTGTCAGTTTCTCCTTTTATGGCTGTTAGCATTTGCCTTATGTATTGAGGCGCTCGTATGTTGGGTGTATACGTATTTACAATTGTTGTATCTTATTGGATTGATCCGTTGATCATTATGTAGTGTCCTTCTTTGTCTCTTGTAATAGTCTTTATTTTAAAGTCTATTTTGTCTGATATGAGAATTGCTACTCCAGCTTTCTTTTGATTTCCATTTGCATGGAGTATCTTTTTTCCATCCCTTCACTTTCAGTCTCTGTGTGTCCCTAGGTCTGAATTGGGTCTCTTGTAGACAGCATATATACGGGTCTTGTTTTTGTGTCCATTCAGCCAGTCTGTGTCTTTT